CTGAAAAACACATTTAAAACTATGGGTCAACGGTAAAAGGAATGCAGTTTTCTAAAAACAGGCGATTTCGTTCATAAAATATCCAGTTGCACGGTGTTTTATAAAAATTCGTTAGAAATTTCTATAATATTTTCCAGTAATGTTTATAATATTCTTTTACTTTGCATGTATCTACATTTTGTTTAGTGATTTCCTAAATATTTGTTAGAAAGGGTGTATTAATTATAATATGCACAAGTCAAGTTTCTTCTTACGGTGCCGTGCAGATTCCTGCGTAGGCGTTCATCTTTTTCTTCCTCATCAGATGGTTCTGTTAACTGCCGCGACTTGGAGTGCTTGGAAGTCCTGTATGCCTGTCCAATGACGAATATTTCTCAGCCAGGATAACTTCCTTCGTCCTATCCCTCTTGCCCCCACTCTATTTTACCCACCTTAGAGGATCAGACGCTGAAAGTGATAGCGTTCTCCACGTAGTATGTGTCCCAAATAGGCTATTTTCCTCTTCTTGATGATTTCGAAGAGATCACGTTGTTCCAGACCAGCTCTTCTGAGAATGTCTTCATTCCTCACACAGTCGACCCAGGGCACTCTTAGCATTCGTCGTAGGGTCCACATTTCGAAGAGCTTCAATTCCGGTTATTGTTGCTACCTTCAGTGTCCATGCTTCCACACCATATAACAAAACGGACCAGACATAGCACTTCACCATTCACCATCTAAGGCCGAAGTTCAAATTCCTATCTGTGAGAAATCTTTGCAGTCTCAGAAAAGTAGATCTTGCTTGATCGATCCTGCATTTGATCTCTTGATCCGGATCCCACGTTTCTTTAACCATGCATCCCAAATATTTAAATTGTGTGACCTGCTTGATGACCTCTCCATTTAAGTAAATTCTGGTGTTCGGAATATTGTTTCTGCTAACAGCCATAAATTTAGTTTTTGTAGTATTTATGTTTAAACCCAGTCTTTGACTTTCACTGTTAACCTTATTTAGAAGGATTTGGAGATCATTTGCATTGTCTGCATAAATCAAGTTAAAGATATAAAATACAATACAATAATCTTGCCACTGGATATTTCAATACTAGTCAATATTTCCACTATTTCCAGGGAGTGGTATAGCACTGGCCAATAAAAAACGTTACGCGCATGACTATCGTCTGGCAACGAAACCTGCTGCGAAAATCTCCACCAATCTGGTTGGTTGAACTGATAAATTTTCCCGGCGTTGCCAGCTTTGCCTAAGCGTTTGATATCTTTAGAAAATAGTTACCATTTAGAATAGAGACAATGAAGGAAATCAGCTAAAAAATAAATATACATCAAACAACAAGAACTATGCCTAGCCAATGTTTTCACCCCAGACCCCAGGAACACGTATAATATGATAACATTTTTTCGAAAAGAGATTTTGAAAATCGTGCATTTTCGTGTATATTTTAGAAAACCTTTTACAATGGATCCGCATTTCTTTTGCTGCCTCAGCTCCGTTTGTCAGATAATAATACATGCATAAATTTGTACAGGGTTATATAAAACATATTGCTATATTCAACTGTTCGGGAGATATGAACGAAGTTTTGCGCATGTTGTACTGAATAAAAAACAATGAAAGGTGGTCTATGCAACAATTTTGTTATTACCTGTTATACAAAGCGGTTCAAAATGACTGTAAAGCTTACTCAACACCTAGATGCACTGAATACAAATACGTGGAGCATGCCAAACAGTGTGAATATTAAAACCGTATGATCGAAAAAGTTTTATGTCAAAGACATAAAACTTGTCAAAAATTAACACTAATTATACCAAAGATTAAAAAAGGATAGAACGTTTCCAAACAGGTACAAATCTATTTCCAAAAAATATTTTATCTCGAATTTTAAACTACACCATTTAAAAATGATTTTTACTCAATATAAAGGAAATTAAAACCTTCTTCGGGCCTAAAGAAAGGTACAAACCAAGTAAATGATGTCTATGGCTTGACCTCGACAAAATTATCATCGATTGTTATTCCCCAGCCATCTTTGACGCCGTTTTTTTTTTGGATCGTATGGTATTATATTACTGTCGTATTATAGTTTGCATTTGATGCATTTTGATGTTGAATAAACTGTATATAACATATGTCCAACAACACAATGAAGTAGTAGTACAAAATATACCTAAATGTAAATGTATACCGTTTTTTAGTTCTATACAGTGTAATCTTAAATGTCAAAATGATATTTAAGAAAGCACTGTTAAACATCTTCGACATCATTATAAAAATAATTAAGCTGAATGATTCTGTATCAAAGAAACCGAAAAACGGTGACATAAGAAGCTAGAGTAGTTCGTAATAGCCATTTAGGTTTCATAAAAATTAATTTTCGGTAGCAATTAACTGTTTTGAGACGCTCTCTGCATAATGTTACGCCATAGATTCAAGTGTTTTTAGAATAATTTAATGGACCAGACTATATATTTAACATGTGGAGATTAATAGCAGTTTATGTGTAAATCAAAACTAGTTTGCTTGATTTTTTTTTGTTATATTAATCGATTTTTGTTCCAATATAAATATGTGGTATTAGCTTTTGGTAATTATATTATAATTCGTTTTTTGTCTGTTTTTGCTGGTTGATATCGAAGACTGAGAAAATTGTTTTGTTTGTTTTCGTTTACTATTCTATTTATTTTCATCTTTGATTCGGAAATGTCTAATTATTTATTGTCTAGTGATATATAAATTTAATACGTATTTGTAATAAAAACTTGTTGTAATCGTTTTAAGCATATTAATTTATTATTTTTTAATAAATTACAATTAATTATTCATAACCGTTTTATTTACAATTGCCTTACATTATTGTAGCGAAAGAGACTATACAGGGTGAGTCTTAAATAAGTGCAAATATTTTCGACCCCAGGAACACGTCTATGAGGTTATTTTCGCCAAAAAATTAAAAATATTTTTTTTATTAAATTTTCCTGCATATTTTAGAAAACTTTTTAAAATTGCCTGTTCACTACAAATCTTCTCACGGTATAATATCTTAATCTCTGATATGGTTACGGCTTTACTCTATGGTTACGGCACTAACAGGGATGCAAATACAGAAAAAATCCGGCGGCTCTCAATTTTTTTTAAATAAATGAATTTTAAATGTTCAAACTTGAATAACTCTTAAAAAAACTTTAAATTATTTGAAAAATGGTAAAAAGAAAATAATATGTTTCTTTTACCGAGATGTACCAGCCTTGAAAATATTTGCACTCATTTAAGATTCACCCTGTATAATGATAATGTGGGTTTTTATTTATAAAGTAAAGTAAAAGATTTCAGTTAACGTCTCCTTTTTGCTGCCAGGGCTAATCTGGACGGGGCCTACTTTGTTTACGCGGAATCCGAACCGCGGTTCTCGGCTATATCATGGTCAATGACCTACCGACTTGGCAGGTGTCTAAATCAACTCTTACTCACGAGATATCCGATCTCATCGGCCTCGAACCGGCGCGAGTATGTCGCTAGTGGTAGGAAAATAATTTTTAGAGGTTACTAGTTTATTTGGTTGCCTATGATATGCATATACAGGGTGTTTCCTAATTAATCTAAAAAAATAATATAAAATCGTTAGAAAACGAATTAAGGCAGGCTCTTAATAAGTATATTTATTTTTTTTCTCGACAACCGTTTGATGAACAAGAAAAAACTCAAAAGATCAATTTTGTTGAAAAAGGATGGCCAGTCAAAGAAAAATATATTTTCTTTAAAAAAGCAGTGGTGTGCCATTTATGTTAGCAAAAAAATCGTTTTTTTTTAATTTTAACACCCTGTATATCAGAAAGGAAGTACTTTAGACCCAATGGTTATATATAAAAATTGTTTAAGAACACATGAGGAATCACACCATAATTTTTTGAGACTAATTCGAAAACACCCTGTATATTGTCAACTTGACGACGACTGCTGATAAATCAAAAATACGCTTTCAGTGAAAAAGCCTGATTTTCGCAGGAAAATTTTTTTTTTTGATTTTATTGAATTTGGGCCTGCGTTTGCAAATACTGGTTTGTTTTTTAATTTTCTATCTATCTAAATTTTAAATATCACAGTCAGAAATAGTTTTAGTATTTATTAACTGTAAAAATGGTGTTTTCTTGTTGTGTTGCATCTTGCAAAGAAACTAACAAAACTGCAAAAATGTAGGGGAGATCGGGGCAAGTTGGCGAAGTAAAATACAAAAGGCTCCAAAACATGAACTAACGGGTTTAAAAAAAAAGATCCCATTTCATCTGTTAGTACATTTATTCAGGTACATAATAAAACATAAAAAACAAAATAAAGTATACTCTTGAAAAAATATAAAGAAAAAAACAAAAAGTGCATTTTCGTCAACTTGCCCCAGTACCGGGGTAAGATGACGAGCCTATAGGGGCACGATGACGATTATAAACAAATGTCGCGGGTATATGTGCCATCTTTTTCGTAGGCTGTGCACGACTCGTGCCACCAACTCTCGCACGTGTTACATTGAATCCAGTCTTCTGTAGGAGGCTCAATATAAGATTCCTGGCAGCCAGGACAAAAAATGTCATTAGTTTTCTTCTTCTTTCCTACCTGCTTTTCACGATTTTCTTGAAATACATTTCTCTTGACTTTCACAGAATCAACCTTCCTTCTTTTAATTTCTTTTAAGTTTTTTCATTGTTTCCTTTCCTGTTCTTCTTTGTTGGGTGTTGAGGTGATAACAGAAGCCCTTTGTTTAGTCTTTTTGAGGTAGTTTTTTTATGGGACGTGTATATTTGGGAAAGGGTCTCATTTCAAGTAGCGTAACTACTCTCAACATTAGAGATTGTTTGACTGGAGCTGGATGAACTCATAGTGCCAAGAGCTTGTGCTTCATTGTTTTTGCGAGATTTTTTTTTTGCTGTAGGCCTGAAGGTCCAGGAAGGGTCAAATTCATTGACCTTGCCGGCTGATTTTTTTGGAGAAAGCAATGGGGGTTCAACATCTACAGTGTTTCTGAAACGTTTTTATTCTTTGCAGAATCCATTTTATTCAATCCTGAGGGTCCTGGGAGAATTAAATTCACCAGCTTTTCTGGCTCAGTTTTGTTGAAAACCGCTGGTGGTTTACCATCTTGTATTTCATTGTTTTTTGTTTTGGCTTGATCAATTCTATTTGAGCCTGAAGACCCAGGAACTGCTAGTGGTTCATCGTCACTGCTTAAGAACTCGTCCGCAGTTACGTGCCTCTCACTCACCATAGAAGGCGCAAAATCGGAATCTCCAAAGATTTCAGCATTAAAAGGCTCAATGCCGCAAGCGGAAAAACTTTTTATAGCTGTTCCCACAGTTGCAGCCCTTAGATAAGCTTGCCCGAACAACCTACCAACTTCTTTATCGGTGATTTGTTTTCCCGGGTGGTTTACCAAATAGTTATCACAAGTCTGGCTATAGAAAGTCTTGAGAGGTCCAAAAAACCCAACGTCCAACGGTTGTAGGCGGTGGGTACTGTGCGGGGGTAGTCCCAACATAACCACTCCATTATCCCTACAATAATTGATAGCTTCCAGTGAAGTGTGAGACGAGTGATTGTCAACGATCAACAATACGGGTGTCTCTGTGTTTGGGCGAACAAATTTCACGAAATGTTTAAGGTATAGGACAAAGGCTTCTGTATTTATCCATCCACTGGGTTGAGCTATACCAGCAGAGTTTGGAGGACATCCATTTAAAAGATCTGGTCGCATCCTAACTCTTCAAAATAAAAAGGGTGGAACGTAGCTCCCTTGGACATTCATGGCACATACAACGGTAGTGTTTTTTCCACGCTCATCACTAGCAACTTTTGATACTCTCCTAGAACCAGTGTGTGATAAAATCTTTGGCTTTTTATTGGGAACCGTTGATAATCCCGATTCATCTGCATTATAAATGCGGTCAGCAGTAAAATTATTATTTTAATCAGTTTCTCCTAAGTAACTCAAAAATTCCGGGTTACTTCAACTTTATTAAATCCGAATAATCGTCCCAGCGAAGTCGACTCTGGGGTCCTAAGACTTATCCTATGTCTACTCATGAACGACTTAAGCCAGTCAGTGCCTGCCAATTTTGTGGTTTTGCAGAACTGATGGTTTATGTTGTTAAGTTTAGCGAATTCGTAGGCTAGTTTTCTAAATTGTACTGATGTAATTCCAAATACTCTAATACTCAGGTCAGTTAGGTAAGTCATAAACTGAGCTTCCTGAGCATCAGAAAACGTTCTTCTGAATCTCCCACCACTAAGAGGAATTGGTTCGTTGTTATTTTGCTTTTTATATAACGTCTTGTCGCTGAGATTCCATGCTCAATACTGGCAGCTTTAACTGACATATGGTCGTGCAAAATAGAGTGCAACGCGGCAATAAGCACGTCTTCTAACCAAGAGCGAAAAAAATTACATCTGTACGGTGCTATAAGTTCTTACCAATGCAAAACATCAAAAATGAATTTAACTAATTTTATACACAGTGGAGGCAGGTTAAATTCAGTCATCTTGCCTCAACCCCAAGGAAACGCATTTTTTAGAAAACAGCAAAAATTAAATTGTAATTAAGTGAAATTAGGTTGTATCTTACCTTCTAATATTTGTGTCACAATAATCAAGATTAACTATGAAAGGGGCTTCTATTTTTCTTCAAACCTGCGGTAGCATTTTCTGGAGCTGGATGTTTACATCTAACAGGTGTGAAAAGCGGTTATGATTTTTTAAACCCGATGCAAAGCCTATAGCTCCATCTATGTGTAACCAGACGTATTATACACCTAAAAATTTATAGAAAGAAATAAATGGGATTTCCGGGATTCGCCGCAGTTTTTAAATCAGTACTTCGTCATCTTGCCCCGTTCGTCATCATGCCCCGACCTCCCCTACGTGTTTCCAAAAGACGAGAAGGTATGTATCTTAGATAAAAGAAAAATATATGGTATGTATTCGTTGTTTGATTTTTTTTCTTTCGCTTTAAAATCTATAAATCTCGGTCTATTCATTAGACAGCCAGTCGACTTACGATCATTTACATGAAACTCTGTAAAATAAATAAAAAAATAAATTGTAAAATATATATATTCTTATGTTCTATTAAAGTTACTCTGATATACTAATATATCAGTGTAACTTTAAAAATAAATCCTTTGAATTCAAATATAAACATAAAAAACATTTACAGCAGAAAAGGCGAAGGCGCTGAGTTAAACGTAGTCTCCACTAAAAACACGGAGGGGCGCTTTGACCCAAAATTTTACTATTAAGTTTCATATCTATCTTAATAGTAGATTATTTTCTTTTATCTATGGTTTAATCCCGATTTCGATCAAACATGTCATATATTCCTATCTTATGATTTAGAGATAGTACTATATTATCCTAATCGGTAATTATATTGCTTAAACCCACTTTATTAATTAGAACATAAATCGTATAATTTATAGTATTCTCGGAACCATAAACCTTTGATAAATAGATTCGACATTTCAATTATACAGGGTGTTTCAAAAAACATGTGTTATCTCTCGTGTGGAGATTCCTCACGTAAAAGTAAGAGTTATTTTTCATATCAACATAGGTCCGATTCTGCTTTGTTTCGTAGCTACAGGGTGTTAAAGTCCTAATAATTTTTCGATTTATTATAATTTTCTTCCAAGTACTTTTAGTGATTTGAATGAAATTTTGAGGGTAAAAATTACTATAAGTGCGACATATTTTAATGCTAAAAAAGTGTTGATAAATTCATCAGGGACGTGCATATGGGTTATAACTGAAATATTTGAAAAAAAAACATGTGCGCCGCTGACTTTTTTTCTTTTGATATCAAAAATGTGTAGGCCGTTTAATGCCAATTAAAAGTTACCTCTTGATATTTTGTCGAATTCGGCCTCCTTGATGAGATAAACGCAATTTTAATAATCACAAGTAATAATAAAATTAAAATAAAAATGAAATTAATAAATTATACAGGGTTGTTCACCACATACGACACGGAGTATTGTAGCTAAACGATGATATTTTTACAAATTGTAAGTTTGGGGTTCGTTGAAGGACTATTAGAGCTACAATTTAAAAATATTTTTACAAGATACAGTGTCCCAAATAAATAAAAAATATCAAAGTTCTATTTTTTTAAATGGAACACCCTGTATATTATTGCATTTTTAGTTTCTACGATTAAAATAAAGGTAAATTTGATTAAGGTTTATTACACTTAAACCTTACCGTTTTTGAAATATTTTCAATTTTGCGAAATTGCAGTATAAATTTTAAGGCTTCATTTCTCCGTTGTATTATACCACTTCTTACCTATTCCTTCTTTTATTTGGGACACTCTGTATCTTGTAAAAATATTTTTAAATTGTAGCTCTAATAGTCCTTCAACGAACCCAAAACTTACAATTTGTAAAAATCTAGTCGTTTAACTACAATACTCCGTGTCGTATGTGGTGAACAACCCTGTATATTTTACCTAATTTACTATTAAATATTATTACTATTAGTTATTATTACTATTAGTCCAACATACAGCAATTTCAAATAATAAAATTATGACATTTAAGATAATTACAAAAAACCTAACTAATTTTAAAAATTTTAACATCCTGTAACTCTAAAACTCTGCATTTCCATACCCATGTTTATATGAACTTTTTTTCAAATTTTTTGATGAGGAATCAATGAGTACTTATTCAAAACTTTCTTAAGTTACTGATATTATTTTTTTTAAAGGTTGCTGTTAGACTTGGATCAAGGCAATTAATAAATTTAAAAAATTGCGTCAAGGAGGCCGAAATCGACAAAATACCAAGAGAACTTTTAATCGGCATTAAACTGCTTACACTATTTCACTTACAAAAGAAAAGAAAGTCAGTGGCGTACATGCCCTTTTTAGAAAAATATTCCAGTGATAACCCATATGCATGCCCCTAGTGCATATGGCGACATTTTTTTAGCTTTAAAATATGTCGCATTTATTTACTTATTTTACTATTTTTTTACTTTTACCCCGAAAATTTCATTCGAAACGCTAAAGGTAGGTACTTGCCTCACCAGAGATGGCCCATGTTTTTTGAAATACCCTGTATAATATGTATATTATTTCTATAAAATACAATCATAACATGTTCCATAATTTCTTGAATTTTCCAATAAAGTAACAACACTAGACAAAATTTCAAATAGTAAAATATAATTCCGAATATGGTTACGGTTCGGCGAAATTCAAATTTAACAAAAATCTTTAAAATATATATATTGTCATGGCGATCTGTCAAAATAAACCATTTTGATTGGTTAAAAAGTACTGGTCTGAAATTTTCCTTATAATCATATATCACAAGCGGGCTCAATTTTTCATTTTCAGTTTCTCTTGTCTGAATGCATATTGTTAATAATGCGACATAATATATTATTGTGTCTGACAGAATATGTTTGATGGTTTACGCTCCGACACACTGCTATATTTTGAATTTTAAAAATATTACTAGCTTTTTCCCGCCACTACGTTCGCGTTACACCTCGAATCGTTCATGCCTTAATTTAAATGATTGTTTACCTATAGCACAAAATAACTACAACAGATGCGAAAGAACACCGAATTAAGGCTGATTCATGGTACACCGTGACGGGCCGGGGCCGTGCGACGGTGAAGGCACGGCCAAATATTGTCAAATGTTATTTATACGTATGCATTCATGCTAAGCCGAGCACGGGCCAAGCTTCGCCGGAGCGCGTCCGTGCCCCGTCCGTGCCCGGCACGGGTACGGCCCGGTGTACCATGAATCAGCCTTTACGCGTTCAGGTTTCTGTGACCTTCAGAAAGAGTCCATAGACAATCCGCATCAATGTATAGTTTGGGTTATTATTTGTTTGGGTGAAAATAATCTGCACCAATATGTTATCGAGGCATACAAAAAGGTCCACAGACTTCGAGACATACGAAAAATCAAGTCCATTTAGCGTGTGTCGCAATTTTCACACCTTAAAAAATTAGTTTTTTATAGCTATAGCAACTGCAGCGACTATGAAAAAGCTGTGTAATTTTCATAGAAAATAAGGGCATCTGTAATTCATTTGAGAATGTTATAAATCGCTAAAAGAGGTTGGATTTCTATTAATATTAAATAAATTTTATTAAAAATGAACTCAAATTGTTAGTATCATTAAAAACAATTCAAATTCAAAAATTGTATCAGTCAAATTCCCTCATTTAAGGTGAATATTAAAGTAAATATAAATACAGCTCATTCTAAGCTCTACTTATCTTTAAGGAAAATTTAAATCATTGTTGCAATTGGGCCTTAATGCCATTTCGAATGAACAATAGTATTAATATTGTACATTATAATAATAATAAATTTTATATCATAGTGTGTATTAAAACTACTAAAACACTTTTAAATTGGTATTATATTAACAACTTTTGTTTTTTAATCCAAAAAAAAGTTACCAATTTTCTCAATCAAAATATTTGTGGTCCTGAAAAGGACCTTCGTTTTCCCATGTTCGTCAAGGTAGGTAATGGGTAAACGGTAAAAAACAGGATAATGAAATTTAAAAAATTACAAAAATTGTTCAAAAGTGCCTCCCTCTTGCATTAAACAATAACCCAAACGATCATAAAATCCCTCCTCACATTGGATAACATATCAGGGGTGACAGTGTCAAAGGCATTAAATATTTTCTGCCTTAACTGCTCCAAGTTTCGAATTTCTTCATGGCCGTAAATTTTAGATTTTATGTACCCCCATAAAAAGAAATCATTCACCGAGAAGTCAGGTGAAATTAAACGTCAGTCTAAACAAAACTGTCATTTTTGAAAACTTGTCAAAATTTGGACACACGCTAAATGGACTTGATTTTCCTATGTCTCGAAGTCTGTGGACTTTTCTGTATAATCTCACAGTAATTTAATAGATTGCTCGTCATATTATATCAGCTCGTAGGAGATTAGGAAAAAAAAATATATTTATAGTAAAAAAAATTTGTTTAACAAAATTTAAAGATGTGACAAAATAGTTACATTTCTATTGGTTCTATCGGACTTTTTTCGACTATATAAATCTTTATTTTTTTGTAAACTTTAATGCATAAAATATTTTCAATCTAATAAATAATTTAATGATGTAAATAAGAGGAAATTTCTCACATGGGTGGTCAAATTCTATAGTTTTCATTATATCAAACAGCCTCTGAATGTTTTCTTCAGTGCAAAACTCATCAAAATTTAATATAAATAATTTTTCCAGCCTGTAAATAAAATGAACAAATTTTTCCACTTTCATGATCAAAGGCTTTTAAATGGGTAAATAATTTCGGGTTATCCAGAGATTCGGATTCTTTTGCAAATTTTAGACAAATATCACATTGATGTATTTGAAGACCCTTTTTAATGATGTAGTCAAACATAATTAAAGGCATTTTGAGTTGAAAACATTTCTCAGAGGCTGTTTGATATAATGAAAACTATAAAATTTGACCACCCATGTGAGAAATTTCCTCTTATTTACATCATTAAAATATTAAATTGAAAATATTTTATGCATTAAAGTTTACAAAAATAAAGATTTATATAGTCGAAAAAGTCCGATAGAACCAATAGAAAGGTAACTATTTTGTCACATTTTTTAATTAAATTTTGTTAAATAAATTAATTTTTATACTATAAATATCTTTTTTTTTTCCTTATAAATAAACACATTTGCATCCCATTTTAAATAAGATATACAAATTACCAACACTTAGAAATAACAGTTCAAAAGTTCAAAAAAAATCCTACACGCGTTTTTAAAAAGAAACATATAACCACGCACTATGTCATTCCAGCAAGCGAATACGACACAGCATAGGTTTCAGGACTAAACGACTGGTGTATTTACACCACTCAATAGGCGTGTCGGGTTTGCCGAGCGGTTTCCGATGCAGTCGCTTTCTTTCGCATCTGTTATAGGTAATTTGTGCCTATAGATGGAGCTAGTGAGCCTTACAAAAATCCACTATTTAAACTACGATTTTAACAGTTTTAGAGCTATTCGTATTTCATATGAAAGTTTGCTATTGTCGATTTTCTTGGTATTATACAGGGCGAGTCTTAAATAAGTACAAATATTTTCAGGGCTGGTAGATCTCGGTAAAATAAAACATATTTTCTTTTTACTGTTTTTCAAATAACTCTAAAGTAACGGAGTTATTTTAGTTTAAAAATTTCCAAAAAATATAGGTAGGTAAAAGAAAATATTTAGAAAATAATAAATAGTGAAATTAATTTACACTGTGCGGATAGAACCCTACCTATGGTCCCATATAAACTGTATTACTAAAATAAATAGCTTTGACATATAAAGTTTTCAATTGGATATTTGAGGTATTCAATTGTCGCTTTTCTTGATATACTCTCCTGATTTATTTTTATTTTTCAAGAGCATTAATACTCTATACGTTATTTTTTATTCCTAGAAGGATTGTTTGAAAAAGAAATATTTCGTTCATATTATTGATCTCACTACTTTAACTCATGTCTTTTTTTTGTTTTTTTTAAATGATCCTTTGTGCAATATTGTTTGTGTATTATCCAGGGATCACGAAGGTTTATATAAATTTTTACTAACTTTATCCATTTAGTTGATGAATTTCAAAAATCTCTTCTAATTCTATCTGTAGAATTTCATTCTTCTAGACCAGATAGTAACGCGAATTTTCATACAACATTGTTCGACATAATTTTACACTCTAAGTGGACGAGTTTCCAAAAATCGCTTTGCGTAGCTAATTCAATAATCACTAATGTCATTTAAACGAACTTTTGTACTAATATTTGTGTATATAAAGCTGACGGTATTAACTGACCCCTAAAATATCCAAAAACTTGATATATAATCTAACTGACACACCACTGACAATGACAATTTATTTCTGGAGGTATTGTGTGTAGGTGTTTTTCAGGTGTGTTTTAGTATTTAATCGTTTTAAACAAAGAAATAGCCATCAAACAATATAAAAATACTTCATAACAAATCTAGACATATATACCTTTCATTAAAAAAAGAATCAGCAAGATTGGTGAAGCGGTTTCGGCGGGATGGACGTAACAAAAAACCCTTTGAGCTTTTATATATCTATATGGAATGGATGGATATTACGTGATGGAAAAATAAATTTTGATATCTCACAAAAAGCTTTATTATCAAATTTAATCATTCACATATTTTGAATTTTCCATAGCTTAAGTTTTTCGTGAAGCATTTCCTTTTCTTCAGACAATGCAAAGGAGTAATTAATAGCATTGTCTGATATTTTCCATAGATCTTTCTTGTTTAAGTTAAAAGATTCTTGCAGATGTAGAAATTCTTTGGAAAGTGTTGTGTTAAAGACTCCTTTATCGTCAGTCTAGAAAAAAAAAGAAGGAAAAAAATGTAAGATAATTTTTTTTAAAATACCTAATCTCAAAACACACTAGCCAATAAGCAGAATAACTCCCCAAGTAAATTCCCAAATCCCAATAAAGTTATTAACATGACTTACAGCTAGACAATATGGTAAGTCATTCTTCATCCATTCTTGAACATGATGCTCTCTGTGCGATTTTGAGGTAAGGCATATGACGTTTGAAGACAAGCAGCACTCTGCAAATTGCTCAAAAAATTAATAAAACAGTTAATTTATGTATATAATTTGGGTATTTACCTACAGGAATCTGTAGTTTAGTGTACAGGTTCCATATTTCTGCATTTGATGTGTAATTAGGATGAAGAAATGTTCCATGACCTAGTCTCTCAGGTTTAAAATTTAGTATGTCAATCACTTCCGTGTTGTTCTTTATTTCAGCACAATGAATTGCTGAAATTTTATATAAATGAAATTATACCTTAAGGAAAATAAAAAAGGGGATCAATTATAGCGATGAACTAAAATACCAATACGAGTGTTGTCTTTTATATGTTGCATATAGAAACATAGTAGGCGCCTGTCAACATATATCAAATGTCAAAATTAACTGTCATTTTTAGTTAACTTAACGCCAAAGTTTTAGATCGCTTTGTTAAAAGTTGTACCTAAACTGGATTTTTGAAGTTGACGAGTCAGTCAAAAAATGGAAATAAAGCCGAGAAAATATTAAGTTATGAATCCGAAAATAAATGTCAATCGGCTGATTGGGTGTTCCGAGATGAACCAAAACCGACGAAAGTTATCCATTCTCGAAGCGTATCCAAAAATATGGTGGTAACATTTGTCTCAAAAGCGGGTCATATAGCAACAATTCCTCTGCAAGATCCAGTTCTTTGATCTTACTGCTGATATTATATCTCTTTATTTGCCAGAACTAATAGCTGAGTTTCGAAAAACCAACCCTAAACGACGAATAATGCTCCAATGAAAGTTTCCACACAGCTCGAAAAACAATTAAGTTTTTAAAGCAAGAAAACCTCGAATTGTTGGACCATCCTCCATACTGTCCCGACCTAAGTCCTAACAACTTTTTTGCTTTTCCAAAAATTAAGAATGAACTGCGTGTTCAAAGGTTCCAGTTCCCAGAAGATGCAGTCAGCGCTTTCAAAAACGCAATTTTGAAGGTACCAACAAGCGAATGGAATAACTGCTTTCAGAATTATTGGTTCCAACGGATGGAAAAATGCATTTCTCTTCGTGGAGAATACTTCGAAAAACAATAGTATTTAAAAGTTATCTAGGTACTGTTTTTGTCTTTGAACCTCTATATGCAAAATATAAACGATAACGCCGGTATTATCAATAAAAAAAGAATATTACCACAGAATAAACCATTCCTTCGAGCTTTCTCAAAAAGGTCTCTATAAAATGTTCCTTGCGCCGGATCTCCACTAAGATCCACTCCTCTCACAATATCCGGATACATATTCTTGAATTTAATAATAGCATCTAGAGTTTCCGATTGTTCTTGATGGTTTCTTCTTCTATCCAGAGACAACAATAATTTCACAATAATATTAGGAGATTCTTTATCAATAATAGCATTGATGACAGTCTGGATATATTCCTCTTCTGTCATATCCAGTTCTTTTCTTGGAGTGGTTCTAAGCTCCAAATAAATCACGTTGTCTTCAGCGAATTCTTTAATCACTGTTTTGGTGCTCAAGTACAAGTTCTTCTTGGTACTGGTTGCTTTATGAGCTACTTTAAATAATTTGAAGACTTCCTCTATAGTGGTTTGTTCGCTTTGATATTCTAGTATAGCATCGTCAGTGCATCCTAATTGTCTTAAGGTGTTTCTGCTGAGAGAACCGTTCAGATGGGCATGCAATTCCTGTAAAAATTCATATAATAATTGTTGTTTATAATTTTCAGTAATTTTTAATTCTAATAAGTATGTGAAATTACATTGCAGTTTGTTTGATAACCGAATCACTTGAATACAGCTTGAAAAATATGGTTGGATAATTTTGATTTTAAAATATTTGTAATGGTTCTAATTTATGTTGAAAGTTTGATATACCTACATAGAAAAAATATTTTTTCAATAGGATTTGTGTAAACACAATATCATAGTTCCGGATCCAAATGTTAGATTTGTATAATTATATGTTTTATTAATTGTTATAAAGTATTCATAAAAAACGAATTATTACAAAGGGAATTAAAAAAATCACATTTATTTTTATGCAGTACAGACTACGATCATATCTTCTGATTTATTATACGATCTGGCAATTCAGCATTCGTTCCCTGTGTAACTAATAATTATACTAGTCTTTGTAAAAAATAAGAAATAATCGTCTATTTGGTTATTTTCAATAATATATATAACATTAAGTTTTATGGTCTTTTTGTCTGTTTCTAATAAGAATAATCAAATTAACATAGTAATGAGGCAATTGATAGATTTGAGGTTAAAAATGGATTTTAACTTTATTTACTAATATACATAAGTAAAATTACTTTATACAGCGTTTATTCAATTCTGAATGGAACAGCGTTAACATATATACAAAAAATGAAGATTTTAACTTACAATCTTAGGTAGTTTCTCACAAAACGACTCCATTTCAAGCATAGCTGATAACCACTAACCGGCTTCAAACTCGGACAGCGTTGCCACATTGAAGACTAGAAAAATCCTGTAAGATGCATAGTTTTTGGTTTGGTGGACAAAACTACATATAAACATAATTGTCCAGTTTTGGACAATTATGTTTATTTTATTCATATTGTGGAATCTCCACTCCAAGTGTTGTTGGTTCAGCTTCGATAGATTCAAACACGTAAGTAGGTATTATGATCTAGAGAAAAATAAAGAATATGTATATTAAAGATCATGAAAAAGATTATTATTTTGAGTTCAAATTTTAAAAAAGATTTTTGTAAAGACAAGACTGATACAGTTTAAAAGAAGAATGTGTTTTTGTTTGATAATATATAATGTATGTCAAACATAACATATATTTGATCAGTAATTTTTAATGAATAGTGTTGATTATTTATAATACCAAATTAATATCAAATATTTAAGTGATGGCTGAATACAATATGAATAAAATAACAATAAAATTGGTATATTTGCATAATACAAAATTAAGTTTTAAGAATAAAGGTGTTACTAAAAATACTAAGAAATTCATATTTCTTTGTTTTAATTGGTCTAATGTTATTTACATTTTACGTAAGAATTATACCGTATCATCGAAAAAAATCGGCGTCTAGTTGGCTTGGAAATGAACATCGATGAGATTCCCTAAATAACTGTACACATAAAATAATTAACTAGAATTTTACAATCTTGGAAAATTTGATATTCTTGAACCTTGTTTCTAAATATTCTAAATTTTTTGATTTTCCTGGGATTTTCATTATTTTTATTTGGTTTAAAAAAAACGTTTCGGCTAACATTATAGCCTTCATCAGTGTTGTGTCATATGAAAAAAATAGTGTCGAATATAATCCAAAAAATTACATATAAAATATTCACACCACGCACATAATGTTTACTGCGTACTCCATAGTCAATGTAGATAATTTTAGTATTAAGAATAATAATTTTAAAAAATATGTGGTCATCTTTTGATAAGTTTATATTAGTTTATTAATTGCAGTAAACATTATGAGGTGTGAATTATATTGTATATGTAATTTTTTGGATTATATTCGACACTATTTTTCTCATATGAAACAACACTGATGAAGGCTATAGTTAGCCGAAACGTTTTTTTAAACCAAATAAAAATAATGAAAACCCAAATGAAAACTTAATCAGCGTTTTTCCCGAATCTAAAAATCCCAAGAAAATCAAAAATTTTAGGATAATTTTACAAATAAAATGCCAGCGATCTTCATTTCATAGCCGTCGCTGACGCCTTTTTTTAGATAATATTGTATTATTTGCAAATATAATTTTTCGAACATTGATACTTGCAAAATATACATATAAATTTTGTGAATGCAAATAATAATACATCACTATTAGTAGATATTGAATGTTTTTTGTTAAATTAAATCGATTTTCAAACCCCAAAATTTAAAATATATTTACATTTTACCCATTATCTTATGTACCTATACATGATTTGTACATTGTAAAACATTTGCTGCATTTGTGTGGTTCATAGTTTATTTGCCAAAGTATTTATTACCATAAATAGGTATATATGTTGTAGTTATTAACTGTATATTATGTATGTTTCATGTAAACTATATCATTTTTAAAATATAAACCAAAAATCTGAGGAATAATTATGTTTTCCATGTATTCTACAACATATTTATTAATCCGTTATATCTAACTAGCGTGACGTCATAAATCTCGCCCGCAGGCTGATCTTTTAATAGAAGGCACTGATTAGAGAAACTAAAGTATTTTTTCACCGCAGTATCACGTTTGGCGACAGAAAATCAACAAATAGAGCCTGCCACGTGACTCTAGAGCGCGGCTATCTTGCTCTGCAAACTTCGTCGCGCTCCGCAGCTTTTTGAGCGCGCTTTCAGTTCGTTTCCGGCGTTTGCAGTGTCCGGTTGCGGTGTTGCGTCAGCTCTATATCTTTTCGCATAAATTTGGCGCGCTCGCGATGTAGTGCGTCGAAAAGTTGTTTTATTTGTCAAATTGAATTCTTGTTTAATTTTGGTCTGACATTTTACAAAGACCATCTCAGGTTTTTATTCTAATTTTTAGTCTGTTTGCATTTTGTTTATTAGCTTTTATTTCTGGAATTTCTCAATAAATTAGCACTAATTAGCACTCGCACAAAAAAAAATTGAAAATATACTTTTTAAACTTTTTTTGAAATATTTATATATGTTTTATTATTTATACCGAATATAAATATTACAATTTTTACAATTTTTCAAGTGACAAAAAAAATCAAAATATTGTTTTATTTTTAAAATTCAGTTCTAGTTTTCTTCTTGTGTGACGTTTTGAGAATAACACATCAGAAAAGATAAAAAAAATACCGTTTTTTAGTAATTTAGGATAGGAGAAATTTTTTTTTAATTTCGGAAAAATTTTCCCCCTTTTTTTCTCACAAAGGCTTTTTGTTAACTAAATTCTGTTATTATTATTTTTTAGTTTTTTAAAGATATCATCACCACAAGATAATACTAATATGAATTAAAATTAAAAAAAAATCGAAACTACAATTTGGTTCTTCAAGTAAAAAATTTAAATGAGAAAAATATACTTTATATTTTTTCTTTTTTTTTAATATATGCACCTATTAATTGCATTGGCTATAAACTGCGTTATTTATTTAAGAGCCTTTATATAGTACGTCAAACGTTGTTATTTTAATGCCTTCAGTCAAATAGAATAGTTAAATAAATACCAATTGAAACGATATAAATAGCATAATGTTAAAAGAAGTCCTTTTCAATTTTATTTTGATTTAATTTAATTATTGGTTCTTAATACTTTGTTGTTAATTACTGAAAATTAATTTACAAATTTCAGAAAAACTCAGCTTGAATTTTTATTTTAAACTCACATAAATTATAAAAAATTAATTAAATTAAAATAAATAATTAATACTAAATTCAATACATGATGATTATTGTTTTATTATTAGTATATTATATTATGAGCTTAATATCATATAGAGGAACTATAGATTATTATTTTTTAATTAATTTAATTTTGACCAAGTTTGATGTACTGTGGAAAAAATGGGACAGGAATTTTGGATAAAAAATACTTTCCTATAATCTTATATGTATTCCTATCATTTCATTTTTTGAATTATCCTATTATCTGTATTCTTTTATGAGCTACAAATTTTTAATCATCAAGCTTTAGATCAAGAAAGAATAACTACCCTTATTCATTCGATAAGACAAAGACCTCAAAATTTTATTGCAGCTAGAGGTGGATACACGCTATTAAAATTATTATAAATAATTTTAGTAGCGTGTTAAATTAATTAAATTGTTTTGCCAATAAAAGAATCTCTGAAATCAATACTTAAAAATGTGTAGCTCAGAAAAGAATAGAGATAATGGGATAATTCAAAAAATAAAATGTTAGGAATAAATCTGAGATTACAGGAAAGTGTTTTTTTATTTAAAATGCCCGTCTCATTTTTTCCACGGGGTGTTTTTTTACAAAAAAACAACGTTTTGATTTATCCCGGTATAAACCTACCTAACCGAAGAATATAAGCCATTAAAAAATAATTATCGGATTACAAAATAAAAAGTTATGAAACATCAAACATGGTCAACTTTTTAGGGTGGCGGAATTTTGTGTGTTATAATATTAATACCTATATAATCTGATTTAAGTCTATTTATACCCAACCACTTAATAATGGAAATAAAATGTTAACTGGATTACTATACTAAATTAACTTATCTTTCTAAAAGTACTTATACACTCCGAGCTAAGAATAGAATCAGACCAAATCTAATTTGCATAAATCAGAAATCGTTATTAAGACTTGGAATATAGTTGGCGAACTTTTACCGTTTTCAATGGCAAATTAGTGTCAAAAGTTTAGGCGAAACATTTAATCAATATTTAGTAGGGGACTGTAGGGGTGGAATTATTAGGAATTAAATGCGTAGGAATTTTCTGAGAATAAATTTATTAAAACTTTAAGAATTATTATTCTGATAGAACGCTACGGCACAAATTAACTACAATAGATGCGAAAGAACACCGAATTACGCGTTCAGGTTTCTGTGACCTTCAGAAAGAGTCCATAGACAATCCGCATCAATGTATAGTTTGGGTTATTATTTATTTGGGTGAAAATAATCTGCACCAATATGTTATTGAGGCATACAAAAAGGTCCACAGACTTCGAGACATACGAAAAATCAAGTTCATTTAGCGCGCGTCGCAATTTTCACACCTTAAAAAATTAGTTTTTTATAGCTATAGCAACTGCAGCGACTATGAAAAAAGCTGTGTGATTTTCATAGAAAATACGGGCACCTGTAATTCATTTGAGAATGTTATAAATCAATACGTTCCGCTAAAAGAGGTTTCAAATCTCTTGGATTTCTATTAATATTAAATAAATTTTATTAAAAATTGAACTAAAATTGTTAGTATCGTTAAAAACAATTCATATTCAAAAATTGTATCAGTCAAATTCCCTCATTTAAGGTGAATATTAAAGTAAATATAAATACAGCTCATTCTAAGCTCTACTTATCTTTAAGAAAAATTTAGATCATTGTTGCAATTGGGCCTTAATGCCATTTCGAATGAACAATAGTATTAATAATGTACATTATAATAATAATATATTTTATATCATAGTGTGTATTAAAACTACTAAAACACTTTTAAATTGGTATTATATTAACAACTTTTGTTTTTTAATCCAAAAAAAAAGTTACCAATTTTCTCAATCAAAATATTTGTGGTCCTGAAAGGACCTTCGTTTTCCCATGTTCTTCAAGGTAGGTAATAGGTAAACGGTAAAAAAACAGGATAATGAAATTTAAAAAATTACAAAAATTGTTCAAAAGTGCCTCCCTCTTGCATTAAACAATAACCCAAACGATCATAAAATCCCCTCCTCACATTGGATAACATATCAGTGGTGACAGTGTCAAAGGCATTAAATATTTTCTGCCTTAACTACTCCAAGTTTTGAATTTCTTCATGGCCATAAATTTTAGATTTTATGTACCCCCATAAAAAGAAATCATTCACCGAGAAGTCAGGTGAAATTAAACGTCAGTCTAAACAAAACTGTCATTTTTGAAAACTTGTCAAAATTTGGACACACGCTAAATGGACTTGATTTTCCTATGTCTGGAAGTCTGTGGACTTTTCTGTATAATCTCACAGTAATTTAATAGATTGCTCGTCATATTATATCAGCTCGTAGGAGATTAGGAAAAAAAAGATATTTATAGTATAAAAATTAATTTATTTAACAAAATTTAATTAAAGATGTAACAAAATAGTTACATTTCTATTGGTTCTATCGGACTTTTTTCGACTATATAAATCTTTATTTGTAAACTTTAATACATCAAATATTTTCAATCTAATAAATCATTTAATGATGTAAATAAGAGGAAATTTCTCACATGGGTGGTCAAATTTTATAGTTTTCATTATATCAAACAGCCTCTGAGAAATGTTTTCAACTCAAAATGCCTTTAATTATGTTTGACTATATCATTAAAAAGGGTCTTCAAATACATCAATGTGATATTGGTTTAAAATTTGCAAAAGAATCCGAATCTCTGGATAACTCGAAATTATTTACCCATTTAAAAGCCTTTGATCATGAAAGTGGAAAAATTTGTTCATTTTATTTATAGGCTGGAAAAATTATTTATATTAAATTTTGATGAGTTTTGCACTGAAGAAAACATTCAGAGGCTGTTTGATATAATGAAAACTATAGAATTTGACCACCCATGTGAGAAATTTCCTCTTATTTACATCATTAAATGATTTATTAGATTGAAAATATTTGATGTATTAAAGTTTACAAATAAAGATTTATATAGTCGAAAAAAGTCCGATAGAACCAATAGAAAGGTAACTATTTTGTCACATTTTTAATTAAATTTTGTTAAATAAATTAATTTTTTATACTATAAATATCTTTTTTCCCTTATAAATAAACACATTTGCATCCCATTTTAAATAAGATATACAAATTACCAAAACTTAGAAATAACAGTTCAAAAGTTCAACAAAAATCCTACACGCGTTTTTAAAAAGAAACATATATAACCACGCACCATGTCATTCAAGCAAGCGAATACGACACGGCATAGGTTTCCGGACTAAACGACTGGTGTATTTACACCACTCAATAGGCGTGTCGGGTTTGCCGAGCGGTTTCCGATGCAGTCGTTTTCTTTCGCATCTGTTATAGGTAATTTGTGGCTACGGAGCTATTAGCTACTACAGGGTCTTGCAACAGTAAGTCCTCTAAAAAAGAACTTGAGAATTTTGTATAAACGCATACTTGAAGTATTTACTGGGGTCTATTTCAGAATAATATTTTGATTTGTACAGGGTAGCTCGAAAAAATATAAGTGGTTCGGGATATTTTTTTTTAAATGGAACACCCTGTATATTATTCCATTTTTGGCTTTCTTTCTGGTCACTTAAGGTATTACTAAATATGTATATTGATAGTTTCAGAGAGATAATTAATAAAATTCAGTCTTTTTAAAAAAAATATTAAATATAAAAGATGTGTCCTGAAATCAAAACTATGCTAGGTACTTACTATACCGGGTGCGTCTCAAAAGTGGCTCACCCTTATAACTTTTTTACTTTTTCAGTTAAAAAAACGAGATTTGGTATGTTAGTATATGACATAAATTAGGATTGACGTATTCAATAATTGTTTTTGGTCACTTAAAAAGTTATAGTCATTTCCGGTGAAACAGGAAGTGACCAAAAACAATTGAATACGTCAATCAATCCTAATTTATGTCATCATATACTAACATACCAAATCTCGTTTTTTTTAACTGAAAAAGGATAAAAGTTATAAGGGTGAGCGACTTTTGAGACGCATCCGGTATGTTGATTTCTACTTATACATATCGTAATCTTCAATCATACGGGGCGTTCAAAATTCCATTCCAAACGTCTGAGCATTCTTTTTATTTTCAAATATTTTAATATTGTTAAAGGGCTTACAGATATTTGCGGTATTATTACATATGACTCATTCAACCGTAAAATACCAAACAAAAAACATTAGGTGGCTTAGATAAAAAATTACTGTTGAAAGAGCAATATGTGCCGGGTGGCCAACTAAGAATGGACGCCAGCTGTATCTCAGAAACTACTTATCGTATAGCTTTGGGAAAAAAATTCTAATAAGTAAATCGACCAAGAGAAATCGCTGGAAATTATTTTCAAGTTCGAAAAATGCCCGCTAGGGGGCGTTTCTCTACGAGCCAATCAGAAAACAGGGTTTTTCTCAAAAATATGCAGGTGAACAGGTATTTTAAATATTACTATTGTAATCATCGGGAAATTTGTAATTTTTTTGATATAGAGTATTTTGCTCTATCTCATAAAATAAAGTGGTGGGGAAAGGTTAAATTTGCTTTTATTAAAATAAGGATAACTCAGGTTTGGGTTATGCGATTTAAACAAACTAGGGCTCGTTTAAAAGAACTTTTCTTCCTTAATGATCTCCAATATAAATTTTGTTTTCACAATGTTCTTCGTAGTAGCTAGAGGGCGTTGTTTGACATCATAACAGATATTGCGCTTTTGCGTAAAAAAATTAAATAGGAGGCTATATTTCTCTTTGTACAGTAAAAAAGAGCACAAAATTTCCAAAATATCAGCGCAAACCGCAACTTTCCATCTTCTCTCTAACCGGAGATATTAAGAGAACAAATCATGTTAGGCTGCCGCTTAGGATTATATGGTCTAAAAATTATAGTAGTAGGCTAAGAAACAAAAAGAGGGTAAACTGGTTACGTCAAAATATCAAAACATATATTTTAATTTCATTCTAATACCATTTAATTATTATTTATCCATGTTCGTTCTTGATTCGATCCCATAAATTAAAACCCAGGCATATTGAATCCGATGATTCCAGCGTCTATCTACTAGATAGATCTCAATAAAATATACATATTTTCTCTTTGCCGTTTTTCAAATCTGTTAAAAATAATCGAGTTATTCAAGTTTGAAAATTTAAAAAAAAAATTTTGATAGCCACCGGATTTTTTTCTGTATTTGCATAACTTTTAGTGCCGTAACCATGGGAATTTCAGAGATTAAGAAATTATACCGTGGGAAAATTTGCGGTGAACAGGCAGTTGTAAAAAATTTCTAAAATAAACAGGAAAATTTAAAAGAAAATGCACGATTTTGATGACGATTTAAAACATCTTTTTTTGCGAAAATAAAAACTAATAGACGTGTTCCTATGTGGGGTCGAAATATACCACCACTAAAAATACTAGCACTTATTTAAGACTCACCCTGTATAATGTTACATGCAAAACGTCATCGATCGCCATTTCAAAAGTAAATCGATGCCATTTTTAGATCATCGATAATTTTTTTATAAATTTAATGTTCTGAATTTGACCAAGTTTTTCTGCTGAGTGTAGTATTCTTTCACAACTTATCTAGTTAAAGTACTAAATTTTAGGAAATTTATTTCCTCACACTTTAGTTCGTTAAAAGGCGATTTTTAAAATGTCGGCCACCGAACGCAAAGACAATAAAATAGTGCCAAAAGGGGAAAAACTACCTGTACCGCAGTTAAACCCCAGTTATACTGTCCGAGTGATTTGTTGCGTGCTTTTCATATTCCTGGCTGAAATATTCCTGGCCCATTACATTTACAGGTGAGTAATATACATTGAAATAGTTCAGAGACCCCATTCTGTCTTTCTTATTTGAATTTTATGTTTTGTGTAGTCTATTAAAAAAGTCCAATTAAAAAAAACACCTATACTATTATTAAGGTGCCCAAGCAGCATTTGGACGTCGGGACAATGTTGTGTCACGCGATCAAACGTCGGGGCGCAACGTCGGCACAACCTCGTGCCAATCCTAGTCTGCACTAATTTGGAGAATAATTTTTGGGTCGAAACGACGTTGGATACCGACGTTGGCTGGCAGCCTAATTTAGTACAAACTGCAACGTTGTTTAAAATCCTAATTCACAGAAATACAAAAATAATATGGCGTCAAGTCGCGTTTTATCCTAAATTGGGATAATTATAGTAAAAATATTATTTTTATGATTTAGTTAGAGACATATGCCAGATGGCAGTAAAGGAAAACAAAACAAAAATAAAGTGTGGAGGATGTTTGAAGATCATATAATTATTGAAACACTTTAACCGACTCTGTAACTCGTTACCCAAGGCAAAAAAGTTAAACGCAAACAACTTTATTGATAAATGTATAGTTTCTACTTTGAAAAATACTAATGGGCCTTAAAATTAAAGAAGTTTTAAAAATTTTCTTGAATTTTTTTTTTAGTAAAATGAGAATAATTTATTCGCAGTCGAAAAAATTGTTTCCGCTTGTTTTTTAGGGTCAAATATTTCAAGTTAATGTATTCAAAAAGCAGGAATTGCTATTTTAGGAACGAAACATTTTCTTATTTAACATCATGGCGGCTTTCACTTTGTTGTTTTGGAGATTAAGATGGAGTAGTTCGAGTAGTCGCATACTGGACTAATAAAGTCGCAGTTCGGCCTTAACAGGTAGTACACTAGTCGCAAGATTGTCTAATTTAGTCATCCTAGAGTCTAGCTTGTGCCGCCCTCTATAATCTAAATAAACGAGGGAGTGGATAAACTATCGGTAATATATGTCGATGTATATTTAAATTTAGTTTTATATGTATCTTTCTTATGTCCCATTTTAATTAAGTTTTATTTTTATAAAAACAAAAACAGCACTGAACTGTCTGACTGAACAGAATAATGAAGTGAAAATTTAAGATTTAAGGTTATGGTTCAATACAGTTGCAAAAAAGTAGTGACTCGACGTCCTAACAACGTAAAAATAAGGAAATCTAAACAACGTTGGAATTAGTAAAACAGACGACGTTTGCATAACGTTGGAATAGGTCCTGAAACTGACGTCGGAAAACTCTATATTGTCCAACGTTGTAACTACGTTGTCCGAATCACTTAAAGATCACTTAAGCAAAAAAGGTTACAAGACAACGTTTATTGGACGTCGCAGAAGCTTCTACCTTGCTGTAGTACTAGTCGAACGTCGGCACAACGTTATAAAAACGTTTAAATTTATTTTAATATCCAAGGTAGGGAGCTAACTATTTTTTGTAACTAATCCAACGTTGTGTTTAGTAAACATGTGGTCGCAAGTCGTGAAAATGCTACTTGGGTAGTTTTGTCTAACGAGTTTTTGGTTTAAATGAATTGTGTTGTGATACTTTAAGCTTAAACATTTTTCCTAGCAGACCTTGCAGTCGAACATTGTTCTTTTTAGAACCTCTTTTAGTGCGAAGTGTACAAGACAGCTTAATAGCCGCTGCAAAAACTCATCGCAACCTTATTGTTGGCTATACGGACCCAAGTTATCCCTGCTAATTTTCTAATATAATGGTCTCATCTCAAGTTCGGTCTTCTTCTAGGTCTCTTAATTCCTCGTGGGTACCATGCTATCATTTTTTTGTTCCATCTATCTGTTGTCCGTTCTTCTTGCCATCTATCTATCGTATGGCTAAGCATCACAACAAAACATGGAATTACAATCACTGTAGAAGTAAAGAGTAGGAAACAAGTATGTGTGCAAACAATAATAATAGTCTGACAAGAGTCTAAAATGTACAAACGAATATACATATAACAAGTATTACAAACAAACATCTAAATTATGGATGTATTCGACTGCACTGTCTGTAGCTTCCAGGAAATCATCAAAGAAACCGGAATAGGATCTTCACGGGCATGCTTCTACTATGTGCCGGATAGTTTGTCTGCCGGTGTTGCAGTCGCATTCTGGGGAAGCTGACTTTCCCCATTTAAACATAGAATCGACACATTTCCCATAATTTGTCCTTATCCGGTTTAACGCAGACCATGTTTTACGTGGCATGTCAAAGCCTGGTGGGTTCTGAGTTATAACCGGCATATTCCCGGCGTGGTCTGGTAACTCTGATTCCCATTCCCTAATCCATGACTCCGTTAATTTAAAACCGTCCCGGTGTAAGCTGCTTGCGGTTGCTAATGTTGGGCGTCTTGAACGAAGTCTGTTCCTATCCAGGTCATGGACATCCAAATGTATCGGCAGTTGCGGCATGTTAGTAATTTTAGTGTATTCTCTAAAAAGTGCATACTGCCTGCGTATATGTGGTGGAGGAATATTACTTAGAATAGGAAGCCATGGGGTGGGAGTTGATTTTATTGTTCTTGATATAATACGCATTGTGTTGTTCAATTGGACGTCCACCTTTCCTGTGTGAGAACTATTGAGCCACACCGGGGCACAGTACTCAGCAGTAGAGTAAACCAAACCCAGCGCAGAGGAGCGCAAGGTAGTCGCGGATGACCCCCACGTGGTGCTGCTTAACTTATGGAGGATATTATTCCGAGTGTTGAGCTTAGCTGCAGTTTGTGTGAGGTGCTTCTTAAAGGACAAGGTCCTATCTAGTGTAATGCCCAAATATTTTGGGGTGTTGTTGTGGGACAGCCAGTTACCTTCAAACCTTATTTTAAGTTCTTGGTTTGCTAATTTATTATTAAGATGGAAACAACTAACTTCCGTCTTTACCGCGCTCGGTTGCAACCTCCACTGGCGGAAGTAGTTTCCCAGGGAATACAGGTCTTCCGCAAGAACAGCCTCTGTCTCCTCGAGGTTTTTATGTCTTGTAGCTATTGCCCAATCGTCCGCATACCCAAATTTTCTAGCTGAAGTAGCAGGCATATCAGCGATATATAAATTAAACAGCAATGGAGCTAAGACAGAACCTTGTGGCAATCCGTTATTAAGTTTCATCTTTTTGCTTTCTTTCTCTCCCAGTTTTACCTGAAAGAGTCTATTTCGGAGCATATCGTCGACCAGGCTGACGGTCCTTCGGCAGGGGATTTCTTTAGCTAGCTTACAGATCAGTCCCTGTCTCCAAACTGTATCGTACGCCGCGGTCAAGTCAATAAAAGCAACTGATGTTTTTTCTTGGCGTTGAAATCCTGCTTCGATGTAAGTTGTTAGGGACAGAAACTGATCCACGCAGCTACGTCCAGGACGAAAGCCAGCCTGTTCAATCGGTATACTTTCTATTATCTTTGGGCTTACTCTGTTGTAGATTAGTCTCTCCAGAAGCTTGTAGATTGTGCTCAGCAGTGCGATTGGGCGATAACTTTGTGGCTTGTCGTTAGGCTTACCAGGCTTTAAGATGGCAATGATTTTAGCGCTTTTTAGTGACTGTGGAATAGTGCCTGTTTTAATTATGTCGGTGAAAAAGTGCATCAACCATCGCTTTGTAAATTCACCACAATTCAGAAGGAATTCCGAATGGATGCCGTCAAATTCCGGAGCTTTGCCAGCCTTAATATGTTGTAATGCAGCTAATACTTCTTCGAAGGTAAAAGGCTGGGAGTATGCTGTCTCCTCAGCACAGGATGATTTAAGCTGTTTTAATTGTCGCTTGATTTCGATTGTGTGTGCACGGTCCCTTGATGCTCTTGAGGTATTAGCAATATTAGAGGCGATTTCGTTTGGAGTCACAGGAGTGTCCACTCTTGTTCTTTGATTATCTCCACCCAGTTTTCGTAATAATGCCCAAGCTTTTCTGCTGGATTTTGCCATGTGTCCGCCCTATTGCCATTTGAGGGATTTGACTCTGTGGATGACATATATTACATAGGTCTTTTGCCGTATCCACTCTATTCTTTTAGGGTCTCTCTTGGTTCTTCCCAGCATATTTCGTTCCATTGAGCGTTGCAGTTTCCTTATTATGATATCCGTTTTAAGTGTCCAGGTTTCGCATGCATAGGTCATGACTGGTAGTACACATTGGCCGAATATTTTCTTCTTTAGATACCGGCATTCTACATTTGAATATTATTGAGTTTTCGAAAAGTTCTCCATGCTAACTTACCTCTTCTGTTGATTTCTGATAGTAGAGATACCGAGCTGTGTATTAGTTGTTCCAAATATATGTATTCTTCTACTATTTCCAGTGCTGTTTTATTTATTAGAATGTCTTGTCTGTGCTATTAGTGTTAATACTAAAATAATGTTATTAATTAATAAAGTGTTGTCTGTATTATTTATTAGAATGTCTTGCATTAGTATGTATGCGTATCTATACGTTGTATTTGAACCAGAAATGTGTATTATACGCATCGAGGGGTTCTGTTCATGATCGGCTAATTAACAGGAAAGTAATTAATATAGTCAGCGAAATTTATACTAGCTAAATCAAACTATCATTTGAGAAACGACGTGAACTAATTAGAATAGTAGCGTGTCGTCGACCTGTTTCAGAAAATAATGAGTTTCGGCTTTTGCAAATTCTAATTGTGCTAACTATTCCTTCTATTAATTATACCTACCCTAAATTATTTTATACATTTTATTACATAATAATTAACACATTGCAAACTAAAAAATGATAAAGAAATAACATGAAGTTATAACCCTGATGAGATATAACCCGCCTATTTAAAAATAACCATATTTCTTTAAATCCAAAACATTTACTTTTAAGACACTCTGTATACGTAAATAATTATTGATTTATAAAATATTATTTGTAAACTAGGGAGTGGGAAATTAGACAAAGAGTAGAGATGATAGGGATTAGGTAATAGCTTTTAGACTACCGTTCGGGACGCATTGATGTTATTTTGGTTTGTAAGTT